GTGTAGGTAACTGTCACAACCCAAAGTTGTGATTTTTGTTTTGTGTGCGCTTCGGCACTGCTAAATTATTTTCCCGCCAAATTGCAGCTTCTTTGCACGGTGGAGTTTTCTGCTGCAAAGGAGAACTCCGGTGCAACGGAGAATTTTCCCGCCAATTTATAGCTTTCTTTGCATGGTGCATTTCTTTTGCATCTCAGAAATGCACGGTGCAAAGGAGTTCCTGCCATTTGTATTTTAATTCGAGCCCCATTATTGGCTTGTGTTAAATTATGCACACGTGGTGGCTAGCAATTGGCTTGCTAGCCGTATAAAGAGCTTGGGTGGTTTCCGCCCAAGTTGGAGAGAAAGCAATTGGAGTCCGAGAGGGAGAGCGTGAAGATCTCTAAGCGCTGCGGATCCTTACGAACTCAACGCATTTCTAAAGGCGCAAACAGGGGTCTAACCAGCCTCTGGCCTCTCCCCGTCGCCGAGCACAATCCTAGACGTATCCCTATCCTATACACTCAATTGCTGAACCCACGGAGCCTTAACAACTCCGGGGCCTGAGAGCCGAACCAAACCCATGGAGCTTCGACAACTCCGTGGGAAAGAAATTGCCAAACCCGCGGAGCCTTAACAACTCCAGGGCCCAAGAACCGAATTTGTCGTAGTCCTCCAACGAGGATTTAAGCGGAGCTGAACCTGGAAACTGTCCAGCCTACACCGCGACCATCTTGGGTGTAAGTAAATAATCTTTAAATCAACCACTACGCCTCTGTGACTAATTCTAGCCCGTGCGTGCCTTGCCGCCGCACGGTCTCCTCTGACCCCGGGTGCCCGGGCTGCTGGCCACAGCCCACGTGCGCAAAGACGGGTCCGCATATCGCTCCCGGCTCGCACATGGTGACATGGACGGGATCGGGAGGCGGCCCGCACAGTAACAAGAGGAAAGATAAGAGTGCTTTAATCACAGATAAGATGCACCATCAATGCATGAATGAACCAATGATGCCCTGTTTAGAGATACCATTTGAAGTGCTCCAAACAGTGAGGGCACTGCCAAAATAAGCGCTTCAAAAATGTCCCTCAAAGACAGTAACCTCTTTGAAACACTTAAAAATTTTAAGCGATTGCTGAAACATCTGCATGCTCCAACAGTCCTCTGGCATCCTCCCAGAGCACAGGGAGAGATCAGAGTACACAGACAACAACAGCTCTTAGCTGTCCCCAAACCTCCAGCAAGCAGAGGCCAATGTTTTGGTTCTCTGCCACCCCCGGATAGACAGCCTTTGCAGCCATTTTGAAGTACTGCGGGAAAGAGGAAAAGGCTACACATTTCCATGGATTCACAGCACTGCAAATATATGCCCATCCATGGCCTGACAAACTCAAAGTTTTTCACCCCTTTTGTCATTAAAATGACAGAATGAAGCAACAGTTCCCCCAGCCATTCTGAAAATACATGGTGTGTTAATTTCCTATTTTCCAATTACATATTTTGCTATCAGCTGACATCAATACCAGTTTCTTAATGCACACTGAAGATTTAGTCAGTTCCACCCCACAGCCTTCTGGAAACATCCTTGTAACTATGGAAAGATTTTTGCATATATTATTCAAATTTTCAGTTTGGGGGGGGGGGGGGAGGGTGGAGGCAAGAAAGAATTATGTGGGTTAGGCAAGCTGTCTGTTGGCAGGTCCCGAACATTTTCAGCAGTTATTTAAACAGTTTATGCTTTCCTAGTTTTGGATACTTTTATGTTAAATGACAGATAAGCTGAATGTATTTGATACCCTGCATATTTCTTCCTAGTCACCTTCTGACAAAAATCAGCACCACCCATTTCAAAGTCCCTTCAATATTTCTGAATAGTCCTGTACAGATTAAATCAACCACATGAAATAACTGAGAGAGTCGTTTTTCAGACATTTTCTTTTCGCACTTTTTTTTTTTTTTTTTTAAACAAAATGAGAAATACGATGAGTTTTCTGATGGGGCCCAGAGATTTGATTTTGGCTTGCTTACTGAAATGGCCAACAAACTCAAAACCAGAGACTGTAAAAGCTACTTCCTACCTTTTGTGTGTCGTTGCAACAAGGTATTCAACAGAATTTGCAGACCTGCTGGAATCTGACATGCCCACGCATCGAACTTTGAATTCTTTGCACCTTAGTGCCCACAGCACCCCAGTCCCCATAAAAACTACTGCAACTGGTAAACACCGCAAATGTATTTAAAAACTATATTTGCTTAGTCAGTCACTAAGAAAAAGTAGTTTTCTAGTTTGAAAAAAGTGGCAGCTGAAGGTCAGCTATATCATTAATGAATACCAGAAAGAACAGGACTGCAGAAATGATAAAGGCAAAGGGTTTGTAGACTATGGAAAAGAAGCTGCCAGCATCTTTTAAACACTTGCACTACAGTTGACAATCAGCTGGCTGCCAAAAAGATTCAATTATTACATTTGACACCAGAGCATTAGAAATAGAAACTGGCACCACAATGTTGGACTGAAAGCCAGATCTCAGATCAAGCTCACTCCTATTTTGTCATACTAAAAGTTATTATTGTTTTAAAGTTGGATGCCTTTTCTTTTAATATTTTCATAAATAAAAACTCAATATTAAACAGGGAAATGCATCCAATTTTTTCCTATAGCTATATGTTTAGACCAATATAAAAGTTTGAGACAAAATAATGTAGGAGTGGGCTTATTTAAATAATGGTATATTAGTTACAGCTATCTAGGTCTTCACTGTACCGTGACACTTCTGGACGGTCTGGGCTTGAGTTTGGAGTTGAAAAATGCCACTTTAAGCTGTACAGATATCTATCATTTGGACACAAAGTACAGAGTTGTAACAGATTTTCAATTTGGAGACTGCTCATTTAGACAGATGTGTAAAACCAGAAGGAAAATGTCATAGGTAATGAATACTATTGGGTGAAAAAAAAAAAAAAAGTGTTCAGGCATTTGGGCTTTCAACTGAATAATAACAATTTCCATTGTTAATGGTTCAGGTATCAAAACACAGTAGCTAAATCTTTTTGGCACCTAGCTGATTTCAAAACCCTTCACAGAAGTTCAAGATGCTACTGGCCCCTGTCCGTTAGTCTCCAAATCCTCTGCCTTATTATTTTATTACTTCTGCCATTTTTTTTTTCTTTCAGGTACATATGGCATTACAAAACAAAAACTTAGATTACATCTACACCACAATGGCAATACATGGCAGCAACCATGTCCCCAGATGTGGCTCACCCACTCATTTACACATGCCTTTTCCAAACCCAGAAACATACTAAATAAGGCTTGTCTAAGCTCAATCCTGGTAGCAGCTCTCAAGACTATGGTTGCTATCAAGATCTGACTGGTAAAGGGACTCCAGAATATCTTCATCAGTATACTTCTAGGTTGGAGAGTAAGTAGGTGGGGCATGCCCAGGGCAGCTCCAGCTGGGATATGCTACCACCACATATAGACAGACTCTTCTTCAATCTTGCATACAACCTATATCCATGCTTGAATTTAAATCTAAATGAGAAGTACACAATAAATATTTAAGGAGAACTTGCTTAGTAGCTGGTGAATGATCCAAATCCACAAGTTAAACGTTTTTATTCAGCTATTAGATACACAGTGAACCTGTGGATTATGTTGCCTGAGACTGAAAGTAGTTCACTCAAATGTAAAATATTCATAAGTGCATACTACTGCGATTTCCTTTGAACGTGGCTTGCTTTGTAGCGTTTAATGAGCTTTAAAGGCAAGTTAAAAATGAGACTTTTCACAGCTACTGTAAAATCACCAAGGGTAGGTACAACTATTTATATCCTCTGAACAAAAGTTACCTTGCATAGAAGGCAAGTAAGAATTTCTAGTTTGCATATGTTTCATATGAAATGAGCCAAGAACTAAAAGTCCATGGAAAGAAAGCAAAGTTAACATTCAGCTTTGTCTCAACTCTCCAGTGCTCGATTTATGAGTGGTTGATTTATCAGCTCTAACACTGCCTTAACGCTAGCATTTAGCCCATAACATAAGGAAATCACTCATCTTCCGTTTCCTCTGTCACATGGACATTCAGGGCATACGTAGACAAAATGCAGGCCCTAAATTGAAGCAGTGGGTTTTTTAATTTATTGACTTCCCCAAGTTCTTTGGAAACTTGTATATGGAAAGGCCACTGCTTCAATTTAGGGCCCTTAAAACCCCTGTGTCATGCACACACCCCACACTTACTGCCTCTCCAGTGGCGGGGAGGGGAGGGGAGGGTGAGCTGCTGGTGGGTGGAGTGGTCCCTGGGTTCCCTCTGTGGCAGTGGCACCCACTCCCTCCCTGCCAGCACCCAGCTCGGGAAGTCCCGGGGGGTACCGCAGCTGCAGATGGAAGCACCGGGCCCCCGCGCAGCTCAGGTAGGCAGGCTCGGGGGAGAGTGGGGGCAGGAAAAATCAGGCTTGCCACTTTTCTTGGGCAGAGCCTCCCTTTCCAGGCTGCTGCAGGGCTTCCTGCAGAGCCCCTGAGCTGCACGGAGCTCGGTGCTTTGCTCCACGTCTATAGGGGCAGCAAACCAACTCCTCAGAGGAGTTTTAGTTTGCTGCGCCCCAAGTCATTTAAGATGCATTACGCCACCGAATTTCCTAAAGCAGCTGGAATTAATGCAATACGCCGCTAAGGTGTGCAAACACCAACACCATTAAAGTGGTGCAAAAGCATTTAGCCCCTCGTTTCATATACACACAGCCTCAGATAGTAAATAGAAGTGATCCCATACATAGATATAAAAGAGAACCATTACATCTGTATCTCTGGTGGCTTGTTAGATAAAAGTTACTACTGCCATAAGAGTAGTTTATGGAAAAAACCCATCCATTTTCAAATGGTGAGAAAAACCCAACTAATCACCCTTTAAATAGTGAAGATGTATTTTAAATGAGTATAAGACTTGGGCATAGAAAAGCTGGCTCAGTTAAGAAGTGACTTGCCACAAGAGATTAGAAGGAAAATTAATCATACCACCTTCAGGACAAAAGGTAACTCATCTATCCAGCGGAGATATCTCCTGGGAGAAGGGGAAAGAGAAAAGAAATACCACTATCTATCAATAGATTACTCTGGAAGAAATGAAAGTTCCTTTGAGCACTCACTAAGGAAAACAGGGAAAGAAAACAAGAGTATCGGTATTCAGATATTGACAGTTTTACTATGGTTCTGCACAGTACTAAGATACTAATCATTAAACTACGTATGTATATATTACAGACATTGACCTGGTGCTGCGAGAGCCAAGACAGAGCATGAACGCATGCAAGCAATCAGAACTCCAGCAAGGGCAAGTGATATAACTGTACATAAATTAAACAAATAAACTTTTATCACTCCTTGTTGAGACAAAAATGTAAGGATCAATGTACTATAAAACAAAGGGACATTTTCTTAAAATCCAAGACTTGCAGATTTCCCTACTGATATTTAAAAGGGTGAAACCTTGAAGTAATAGTTGCTTTGTTCATTGTTTCTACTGCCTCCTATTAGGCTTTTACGGTGATATTTTATGATACTGTGTATCTGAACCTATGAAGTTTAGGTAATCTGAAATAGTTTGAGGTAGATAAGAAGTCCATTCCATGGGCTACCTTCTGTTTACTTGTATGCCTGGTTCTGCCACCTGATCACTGAGGGCGTTTAAGTCTCTGTCATTTATATAGACATAGCTATAAATCTTCCAGACTGTGAAGATATTTTACTCAGCATTTTATAGTATCGACCTCTTGTCCTTATTGGTATCAGGTAATTTTAGGTGGATTCCATTTTGAAATCCAAAGAGCAATGGAAACCAATTCACTACTAAGTTGAATGTAACAGACTATTAAAAAAATCTCTTTAGATGTTCAAGAACTGCCAATCAGAGCCCCCTTTTATATGGGTAGTACACCCCATTCACTCAGGCTCTGCACTCAGCACTCTATTCCAGGGCCTCCGCAGGTAGGTGACACCACTCTGCAGAGGGTGGGTCAGGCAGAGGGCATCTGCTGACCTATGTAATAGAGTTCCATGATCCAGGCCTGAATTTGCGCTCAACAGTATGACTATCATCTTTAGACAGTGGCATTATCAAACTTAAAAATCAAGTTGTATGTAAATGTCATAGGCCTATTTACACAAGGAAACTAACTGACAACACTACACTGCCATAGCTAGTATAATGTAGCTCCACCTGTGGGCAGTCTGCTTCAGAACAGTTTTATCATCAGTATAGAGCACAATAATTTAAATTAGTTGGAAAAGGCATAAACCATGCTGAAAAACCACTCACTTTCATTTCAAAATGAAGTATCCACATATAGTTATGCAGCATAGCTACAGAAATCTAGTCTTACCCATCAACTTTCCTGTACAGACACACCCTAAATTTACCTAAAATTTTAGATTAAAAGGCAAAGAATCTCAAAAATCTGTTTACTTTTTATGCTCTTTATTTATTATTTGTATTTTTGCCAGTTTAGTCACTGAAAAAACCCAATAATCTCACTTTCAATGATTACTTTCAAGTTAAGCTACAGTATTTCCATTTCAAAACAATGTTTTCTTTAGGAAAAAAAACAAAAAACCCAAATTCTGCACAAGCAGTTGAATTAAACTGTATTAAAATTGTTAGCCAAAACTAAGTTGAAAGTGGGATGCCTTCTGTAAACTTTCCTTTCTTGTTCTCTTTATTCTATTCATAATTTAAATTCTTAATTTTTTTCTAACTCCTTTCATCCTTTTAAATGCTTAAAATAAAAATAAAGCTTCATTGTTTTAAAAACATTCACAGATTTCATAGGGACTCAAAAAAAAGAGAATGTCATGTGGGTCTGCAGAAACAGAAAAAACCCCATAACAGAATTTCTTCCTCGGTGCCAGAAAATCAAAATTTCAAGTTTTTCACTGACTTAACTTGCATCAAGACCAGCACGGTTCCCATATGTATGAGTCATTTTTCCCAAAAATTTCTAAGTACTAAGCTATGACTGAAGGTTTGTTTGTTCCTTCTGTTCAAGAGAGAAGCACTAAAGGAATTAGTTCATTATTAACGTATCACATCTTAGCAAATACTTTTATGCAGAAGATAAAGCCTGCCAAAGCACTCACCCAGAATCCTACCTTCCTTCTGTAAAGTATAAACATTTCAAACTGATCTGAGTCACCATTTAGAAAAAGCAAGAGATAACTATATGAATTTAAACAGCTCATAAGCAAAATTATCTTGCCAATACAAAGTTATTTTACTAATTATGATAGATGAACATGTGATTATTTTCTACTAGAGGGGAATAGATATGAATACTGAAAGAAGGAGGCTTCCTTTTGATTCATGTAGCAAAGATTGAATTTTACTGTTGTCTAATAAATAATTCTATATCCACAATTACAGCTTCATGCCACATAGGAAAACAATAATGGACTGCAGAGCAAAATAATTCTCAGGGGTCTGAACAGCATTGTCTGTCTCTGTTAAATACCAAATTGTTGGCATGTGAATTTACCCCAAAAACAACTAACTAGCAACTCAAATTTAAAAAGAACACTACAAGCCAGACTGACAGTGAAGTTACAGTTGTGTCGCATGGTTTGGCCCTCTGTGCTTACATGTGTAGTGGGGAGTAAAATCTATTTACATGGTGTGTTTTTTTTCTTCTTCCCCTTTCTATCAAAAGATAAGAATCTTCTAAGAATCCCTAGGATCTTGTTTCACTACCATTTTCTATAGTTATGTCATTTAAGCCAGAAAGGCCAAAAATTGCAGCTAGGATGCAGTTAAATTAAAAAGATCACTAGTAGTGCTCAGTACACTAGTTGTAGGAATTATCTGGTAGGAAACTGAGCTCTGGGAAACTGCTACCACTTACTTGACTGTTCTTACCTTAGACATACTATACAATTTTTCCTGCCTCATGGGATCCCACCATAAAAATCATGGTAACTTCTCCTTTCTGGTTTTGCTCATAATAAAAATCTTCTGACATTCATGTCTCACACACTACTGAATTAAATTAAAGATAGCTTAAATGATTTAGGCTGGGATTTTCAAAGTCTACACAAGAATTAGGTATATGTATATTTTATTGAAATCTCATGGAAGTCTAACTCCCCCTTAGCTCATTTGAAAAAAATCTCAGCCTCAATATATTTTTGGGGTTTTTTTGCATTGCAGCAGCATATAGGAGCTAGTCACTGAATGCAGAAAAGGCTGAAGTGCTCAATGTCTTTTTTACCTCAGCGTTCACAGGCAAGGTCAGCTCCCAGACTACTGTACCTGGCAGCACAGTTTGGGGAGGTGAGTAGCCAAATATGGCAAAAGAACAAGTTAGGGACTATTTTAAAAAGCTGGACATATACACGTCCACAGAGCCAACAGGATGCACCCAAAGGCTACACTCAGATAGCACAGATGTGTTGTATGTAGTGCTGTGGACTCATCTGTGGCACCACATACCACACATTCAGACATTTCCTGTGCTGCTACCAGGTGTCAAAAAAATCCACACAGAAAAAAGCAGGGTGGCGCATGCAGAGACTACACACACACCCAAAGCTGCTGGCCAGGCTGCAAACTGAAGGAGTGATGTAGCTGCAGCTTCCCCACCCCCCAGAATCCCAGGTAAGGCTGTTGGGGCCAGCAACTGTGCTGGTCCCAGCCTTCCCTACCCCACCTGGGGTAACCTGCTGTGTGCAGAGCCACAGGCCATCATCTCTGAAACTCATGGCAATCAGGAGAGGTCCCAAATGACTGGGAAAGGGCCAATATAGTGTCCATATTTATGAAAGGGAAAAAGAAGGATCCAGGGAACTACAGACTAGTCAGCTTCACCTCAGTTGCTGAAAAAAAAAAAAAATAATCATGGACCAGATCCCCAAGGAATCCATTTCTAAGCACTCAGAGAAGAAGGTGATTAGGAACATTCAGTGTAGATTCATCAAGGGCAAGTCACGCCTGATCAACCTGACTGCCTCCTATGAGATGACTGGCTTTGTGGATGCAGGGAGACCAGTGGATGTGGTATACTTCCCATCTTCAACTGAAAAAAAAAAAAAATAATCATGGACCAGATCCCCAAGGAATCCATTTCTAAGCACTCAGAGAAGAAGGTGATTAGGAACATTCAGTGTAGATTCATCAAGGGCAAGTCACGCCTGATCAACCTGACTGCCTCCTATGAGATGACTGGCTTTGTGGATGCAGGGAGACCAGTGGATGTGGTATACTTCCCATCTTCAACTCCCTCTGTGCAAAAGTGAAGTTTATTTCCTACCTATGGGGACTTTTTACCATCTTGTACCATCTACACCTTTTCCCAGAGCCTGACGAAGGGACTTTGATCCCGAAAGCTTGCAGAAAAGGACAATTTTCTTGCCATTTTCCAGTAAGTCTAATAAAAGGTATCATTTTGGAACCAGAAGTTCTAGTTTTTTTGTATGTCTTTTTGATTTTAGCAAGGCTTTTGATACAGTCTCCCACAAGATTCTTGCAGGCAAGCTAAGGAAGTATGGGCTGGATGCGTGGACTGTGAAGCAGATAAAAAACCTGTCTGGAGCATGGGGCTTAGAGGGTAGTAGTCAATGACTGTCACAACCCAAAGTTGTGATTTTTGTTTTTGTGTGTGCTTTGGCACCACTGAATTATTTTCCCGCTAAATTGCAGCTTCTTTACACGGTGGAGTTTTCTGCTGCAAAAGAGAACCCTGGTGCAAAAGAATTCCAGCCACCAGTAGCTTTCTTTGCAGGGTGCATTTCTTTGTTGCAGCACAGAAATGCTCGTTGCAAAGAGTTCCCGCCATTTGTATGCTAATTCGAGCCCCATTATTGGCCAGTTCTAAATTATTCACACGTGGCGGCTAGTGATTGCCTTGCTAGCCATATAAAAGGCTTGAGTGGTTTCCGCCCAAGTTGGAGGACTCCACGAACACCAGGAGGACGAGACTTCATGCTGTGTGAAGATCTCTAAGCGCTGCGGAGCCTATCGGACCCAGCGCATTTCAAGCAGGCAACAGAGGTCTGATCAGCCTCTGGCCTCTCCCT